GGGCGTCCAGCAGGCACAGGGCCCGCCGCCGTGACACGCAGGCAGCCGTGACACGGTCACGACTGTGCCACGCTCACGGCCGTGACCCCCTCACAGCCGTGACACACTCACAGCCATGACACACTCACAGTCATGACACACTCGCAGCCGTGACACACTCGCAGCCATGACACACTCGCAGCCATGACACGCTTGCAGCCCTGCCACACTTGCAGCTGTGACACACTTGCAGCCATGACACACTCACAGCCATGACACGCTTGCAGCCCTGCCACACTTGCAGCCGTGGCACGCTCACAGCCATGACACACTCACAGCCATGATGTGCTCACAGCCATGATGTGCTCACAGCTGTGACACACTCGCAGCGATAACGTGCTTGCAGCCGTGGCACGCTCACAGCTGTAACACGCAGCCGTGACATAGAGCCATGACACGCTTGCAGCCCTGCCACCCTCATAGCCATGACATGCTCACAACCATGACACACTCGCAGCCGTGCCACCCTCACAGCCCTGCCACACTCAGGACACTTAGCCCAGGAAGGAAGGAGAATTCATGACCGCAGGGCGGCGGGAGAAGCACGAACGCCTTCCCTCGGGGAAGCGACTGTGGCCCCGGGTCTCACCGCCTCCCCACCCGAGACCAGGTCCCGCGGGGCTCCGGGTGGTTCTGGACACATCCCCGGGCGGGAGCGGTGCCGGTGGCTGGGGAGGGCCGCGGGAGGTGGCCCTGCCCGTCCGTGTTTGTGACCACAACGCCCGGAGCCATCCCAGCTGCAGCCTGAGGGTCCCCGGCCCCGGGCAGAAGCCCTAGGCCTGGCCTTGTTGCACGGCCATGTGCCGTGCTTCCCCGGGGGAGCAGTTTTGGGGTGGGGGGGACTGTAGATTTTCACCATCGTGGACACTTGGTGTTTCTCAGTTACTCCTGTCCCACCCCTATTGCCTCGTCCCAGATCTGTCTGTACCCAGCTTAGGCACAGACATGGGACATGACAGATTGCAGCACTGGGGATGCAGGGGGCTGGCGGTTGGGAAGAGAATCCTGCTCGCCTTAAGGACATTACTCCAAATATGATCTGCACCTCACCTGGAATTAATTTATTGCTGATGGGTAACATCAAATTAACCGACGGTCTCCCGGCATTTCCTTGTGAATAGGATCCCAGGAGAGAAGCCAAGGACCGAAAGGCCCCAGTTGATGGGGAAATACACTCGAACAGGGACGAGCCAAGCGTTACTGCCCTGCTGCACAGGGACGGCTGCCAATACGGAGATACGCATCGCCCAGAAAGGAGCAGGAGGGCTGCAGGGTCAGGGCATGGTGTCCTCTCCTTCCGTGTCACAACCAGGCGAAGCCAAGGACTGGTACCTCACTCGAGAGACAGCCTTACCGGCGGTTTACCTCGCTTTACCTTCCTTTCATTTCCTTATCAGACTGAGCACCTTGAGTAAGAAAAGTACATGCTGTGCCACCAGCGCCATTGCCTTGGCTTTCTTCTTTGCCCTGGGCTGTCTGGTAATGGCTAATTGCTCTGCTTCTTACCTTTATCATTCCATTTATTCTTTATTATTTGTTCCCCACAAGTCCCTAACAGGCCTCTGAGGCAGGCATAGTGAAACAAATAGCAGAGACAGCCTCAAGCAGTACCAGCTATTAATATTGTGCAAGGATGATTTCAGAGAGCTCTTTGCCCTCCCAGCCCAGCCATCGCTCTGGGGAGGGCAGCTGCTTGATATCCTGTAAGTGCTCTGGGAGGCAGCGTAGAAAAGAGGAGCATGTGGCCACCTTCGCCCCGGCAGAGACTTTGTGCGAGGGTCATCGTCACTGTCGGAAGAAACGCACGCATGGTTTTGGTGTGAAAGCTCATCGAGCGCGTGGGTAAGTGCTGCCTGAGAGTCGCACCCTCCTGTGCGCAGCCGGGTGCTGTGTAATGCAGCCACTGCCTGCGGGCTGGTTTGAACCCTGCCACCGCACCGGCCAGCTCCGGGACCCAGGTTGGGATGGAGAGTGGGGAGACCCCCAGCACCCACCCTGCGGCAGCACCTCCCGGCACTTTGCTCCGTCCTGGAAAGCCTTTTGCAGGCCCACAGCGTCAGTGGGTTCGACGTGGTGGCCATGTCGGAGCCAGGGGTCTTGGCCAACACCCGCTGCCGCTCTGTCACTCTGCAGGGGTTTGCAGTATCTGGGGATGGACTCAGGCGGAGCTCCATTGGGTTTGAAATTTCAAAGCCAGGAACGTCAATGCTGTCTTCCCAACTGCTCTGCTTGGCATAAATTTCTACCAAACCCCCACTCGGGGACCTTTTTTGGTTTTGTCCCTTTTGTCACCATTTTATTTTGTGATTTATTATTTTTAACACTTCTTAATATGTATTTAAAGCTCTTCCTTTCTTCTTGTCCTCTGTTTTTAAAATGGTGCTGAAATGTGCGTTTTGACAGCAGCCCCTGCTTTTGTAAGGCCCTAATAAATCTGTGACTGAAAGCAGACTGACACCACTGCATGAGTTTATGAAGCTGGGAGCTGGGTAGAGATGCTGTGGGTTTAGGGAAGAACTCCACTGAAGCCAGTGATGTTACACCAAGACACATTTTACCAGCGCCTGGTAAGCCTTCGCATTTACTCACCCCTCAAAACCCCCAAGCGAGAGCAAACATCGCAGTATCCAGCAGTGGCCACGAGGGAAAATAGCACAAGTCCGCAACTATTAAACATGCTCTGCTACTATCATGCAAATACATCTGGTTCAGCAGCTCAGAAGCAGACTTCAAAGGACAGAGAAGTCATTAGAATCACAGTTCAGAGAAAAAAGTGAGCAGCTGGTTTGGGCCATCTGGTAGGGGACATAAAATGGTCTCTTTCTTCCCCAGTCAGTCTATGAAATTTTCATTAATGTTAGGAACATCTTCCCACATTAACCAACATAATATTGTTAAAAATGTAAGTCTTAATACATCATCAAAACTCATGTCTTAGGAAAACAAGGTAGTTACAGTCTGGTGGGTTCTTTCCTCCCCTGTAATACAGCATGCCATAATTACAATTTTAGGTTGGTGTTTTCAAAGAAAATTCGTGGGAATTGGATTCCTCAGCTCCTTCGAAGGTCCCAGGGAAGAATGTGGACAGGATGGTTCCCCAGGCTGCAAAGGAATCACCTTCTCTGTTGATTTCAGGAGCCGCATTTGGCTTAAAAACATGCACAGAAAGTGTCCTTCCCCAGGCTGCATCGCTTGGGCTCGTTTCTCCTGGGCTGGGTCCCACCAGCCGTGATGCTGCTGGGATGCGGGCTCAGCCCCAGGAGGACAGCCGAGCACTGCGCCATGCCCCTGGACAGACCACGGGGGAAGCTGGCCTCGCTGTCGCTCGCAGTGGGATCCATGCTCCTCCGGGTGCCAGGGAGCGGGGCTGAGGCCAGGCAAACGCTGACAACGTTTTGCCAACCCTGTTTGGTTACAGCTTAAACAAAAGCCCACCTCCCTGCAGCCCCCCAGCAGACATCCCAGCCAAAAGAAATTCCAGCTCCGGTGGTGTGAGCACAGCTCAGCAGAAATCCCTGGTTTAGCTGCTCTGATCTGAAGGCCCCCAAGAGCTCCTGGAAATTGATATTCCTGTTGAATATATGGATGACTTCCTTGAAATTCAGGCAGGTGGTTTGATAATGCAGGGAGGGTGACAGCTGCCATGGGGAAGCCAAACTAAACAGGAGCCACAATAGAGAGCTCAAGGGCACGGCAGATACCTGCTGATTTTGACAAAGTGATGACCTGGGAGCTGCTGCTGGTTCTCCCTGCCTCCTCCTCGCCTTTCAGATTTGTCAGCTGTGTCTCTTCCTGTAAAAGGCAAAATGGAGAGAGTGCATCTTAATCTTATTGCTCTGGGAGCGTAACTGGCCCACAACTCAGCTGGGAATTTTGGGGGTTTCAGTCCCAGGCTTTCCCAGACACCGCTGTTTCCATCAGTCCTGCCTTTGGTTCTCTTCCCTGGGACCATCCAATTTTACTGATTTTTCTCTTCCTATCAGCAGCATTTCGAAGCAGATGAAAAACACCTGAACCTAGAAAAATCCCCAATCCTCTGACCTGCTCATGCACGTGGGGAAGTCCATGTGGCTGCACAAGTTGCCTGTGTTTTGCCTGCACCGTGCGGAGCGTTGCCATGCATTACATACCAGTGTTACGAGCTGTGCTGTCCTTCCGAGCAACACTGGTTCTCAGGCAACTTCCTCAGGTCAGAGAGCAGGAGAGTGGCTGGGCTGAGGACCAGAAAAACTACTTGCCCCAGACCCGAGATCAGTGAAGGAGCAGGGGCTGTCCCAGGGAGCCCCCAGCCACAAAGAGGTGCCTGCAAACGTGCACACACAGGTACTCCATCCCTGGGAGGGAGATTTAGTGAATTCCCCTGCCTGCACCATGCTACACATTTACTATTCCCCAAAGGCATGTGCAAATTCAGCCCCTGATACCTAGCATTATCTCCAGGTGTCTCCCACTGCCTTCCCGGCTGCTTTCCCAAGCTGCCAGCCAGCTGACAGGACAAACAGCGCTGGCTCTGGGCTTGTTTGCCACTGGATAACAGACACAAATACTTGAAATACTTTCCTAATCTCATTTTCTCCTGCAAACGACTGCTGGGTTGTCAGGGATGTTACTCCAAGGCAGCAGCAGAGATGAGATGTTGGGATGGGACAGAGCGTGTGGGATAGCAAGGGAAGGACCCGGCTGGGGAGCATCCCTGAGCCCTACCCCAGCCTGGACCCCCCACCTGGATCCCTGAGCCCCACTTGCTCAGGCCCAGCCTGCTCCTTGCCCTGGGTACATTTGGCTAATTAGGGTAATTTCTCCCCTGCAACAAGGGCCATTAAGCCTCCTTTCCACGTGGAAACCCCCATGGGCTGGGGTCACCAGCCCTCCTGGAAACAGGGCTCAGGATTCCCAAGCTGTTTCTCCTGGAAGGACTGCTGGCTTTATTTAACATGGCTTTCATCGACTGTGTGCTGGGATTGCAGCTGAGTCTGGTGTGGAGATCTGGGAAATGCTGCTACTGTCTCCCCCTTGCGCTCCTCCTTTCTTCGGGCTTTATCTCCCCAGAGCTGGCAGAGCCTGGGATGTTTCCACGTCCGCCTTCCCTGGGAGGTGGTGGAGACCCAGGGGACACCAGCGAAAGTGTGGCTGGTGGCAGCGGAGCCTGCAAATGCCTCCCCCTCTATACAAAATAGCACAGACTTGCTTTTTTAGTTTTACACCTAAATCTGTTTTCATCCGTCACATGTTTTCAGAAGAGATGCCGTAAATTAACACAGAAAAACTACTTGCCCAGACGGAGAGGGGTGAAGGAGCAGGGGCTGCCATCGTTACCGGTGGGCTGGGTCCCCAAGAAGCTCTGCAAGCCCACGGGAGGCCGCTGCTGGTGGAGCGGGGAACGCAGGACCCGAAACTGCAGTGACCTGCTGGGAGTTGGAAAGAGTGCTCTGCTAGCTGCCGAACCGCCAGCAACCTGCCAGGGATGCACACCAAACATGAGCTAATCCCAACAAAAATAGGAGTGAAATCATAATTCATATGCATAATTCATGTGCATAATTTTATCTTTGCTGTATATTCTCCAGGGATGTATTCTAGAAAATGCTTTCTTTCCCCTCCCCTCAACACTGGCGTCCTTCCAAAAAGTGCCGTAGATGCAAATCATTGGAGGCAGCAAGAGGTAGTAGCTTTGCTGGGTTACTAAATAAATGCTAAATTTGTCTGAGTTTCTAGCCTACATCTTGGCAAGTTATGCAGATTGAAGCTGTTGTATAGACATGCAGGCTTGTAATAATCACAGGATTTTAATTGCTTTCATTGTGAACCCTGGCTACTGATTGTATCTGCATGGAAAACTGTAACAGTTTGCACTTGCAAATGCTAAAATGTTAAACAATAATGGCAATTAAGAGATAATTATAGTTATTCTGAAGCAAGGATTGGAGTTAAGACTCCAAGAAGACATCCCAAACGACCGGGAAGCGGTGCCCTGTTTACTGCACAGACTTCAACCTGCTTTTTCTATGATGTGAGATCTGCCAGATTTAATTGCTTAATGATTTTCTATAAAATATTTAAGTAACGCGGTATCTTTAGCCAGCCCAGGCTCTGTCTGAATTGCACGTGTCAGTCTTGCTGCAGGACAGTGACAAAGCCTTGGCCTGGCACCCGATGCTTGCTGAGTCACCCAATAGTTTTCTTCTGCTAATTACAGCATAGAAAAGGTCCAGGGACCCCCTGCCAGCAGGACCACCAGCACCCATGGGTGGGGACCCTGCTGGAAGGGGGCCGCATGGGTGCTGTCCCTCAGTCCCCCTGCAAGCCATGGTTTCAGAAGGAGCCTTTGCAATGTGGGTCCAGGTTTACCCCGTCCAAACTGACCCACAGGCCACCAAGGAGCAGACACTTTTGGCCAGGTTATTTTGAACCCTGAGAGAAAACAGGACTTTTAAAACTGGATTTAGGAAGAGGTTTTGTCCTTGTCGAAGCATTCTGGGCTTTCCTCAAAAACAAAAAAGGCATTTATTTTTTTCCAGAGCCATGTTCTGGGCTGGGTGCCAGCCGCCTGTGTGCAGGCTGCAGCGGAGGCACGTCCTGGCTCGGTGTCAGCCCTCCGTCCTTTCCTGCCGGAGCGGGCCCGGCAGGCAGCAGGCAAGCAGCACGGCCAGCCGGGGAACTGCGTGAGATGGGGGCGAGATTAAACCCCAAACCTGTAATCAAACACTTAGTGGGAAAATATCTGTGTAAGAAGGGATTTCCGTTCCTCTGACTCAGCTTAAGCAGCACGGGGCTAAAGCTGGGGTCACGCCGTGTGTACCGCCAGGCGCTCAACCTTGCTGGTAAACCCGGGGGAAATCCTTTCATCGTGCCCCGGCAGCACCTAATGCCGCTCAACCCCAGGCTGCTCACCCTGGCTGGGGTAAGACACGGGAAAACCCTTTCCTGATGGCCACAGTGCAGTGTGGCACCCGCGCAGGGCCGCTAAGGGCGACGTGCCGGCGGGAGCACATGTCCAGCTCTGCAGATTCCAGCCCCGTCCCTGCGTGGGACTTGGTGGCCAGGGCTGCAGGAACAAAGGGTGGCTTTCACTGAGCTCACCCCGCACTGGGACCGCTGTGGCGAATTCCTCGGATGCTTTTACGGGCTGCAACCAATGCATGGGGAGAGCGGGGCTCCCAGCAATCTCCTCCCCCTGAAAGCACTTCATTCACACGCAGGCTGGAAGGAGGTGAAAGAAAAGGCCGTGCACATGTTTAAATGCAGGGGGGCCCTACTGCACAGGGGGGGTTGGATGTCTCCCCAAAAGCCTCTCTGCCTGGCAGGCTGGAGGCGACGGCACGCAGCCCAACTGGGGTCTGGGCAAGCAGCTGAGCTGCAGTCAGGCTGCCCCGCAACGGCCATAAATCAACGGAGACGCGCAAGCAAGGGAGGGAACAAAGGACGTGGAGAGATGCCATGGCATCTGGCAGGGAAGGACCGCGGCGGCCGCGCCAGAGGATGGCGTCTGAGGAAAGGCTCTGACCAAGACCGCGAGGGTCCCGGCCCCGTGTCCTGCAAGGGGATGAGAGTTGGCCCCGCTCTCCACTGCCTTCCCTCCAGCCCAGCCCTCGAGAGAGGCCCGTGAGTGAGCGCTGCCTCGCTGGGCAGCAAGGAACACATGGGGATGTTGGCGGAGCATGACATCCCACCTCACCCATGGCCCTGGCAGCGCTCCCAGGGCACCTCTGCTGACCCACCATTGATATTTCCACCAGGCCACAGCAAGCTCTGGTGCATTTGCATTTGCTCTGAATCCCCAGCACTAGGAAAGAAAGACGTGGACTGTGAGGCCACTACAGCAGCCTGCTTCCACAGGCAGGAGGAAAAAAGCTACACCAGGGCTGGATAAAACTGTTCCTTGAGCTTAACCCAGGGCCAAACCCTGCTGAGCAGCGGAGCAGAGCCTGGGGCTGCCCCTGCTCCAGCTGCCAGCAGGAGACGGGACAGGGACTGGAGCGGGGTCCTGCAGGGCAGCTCCCTTCTCACCCCCCTGTGCTGGGTGCCGAGACCACCGGTGCTCGGGGCAGGAGAAGCACGGTGCCTGCCGTCGCTAACAGAAGGGCTGGTGAAGGCGCTGACCTGATGATAAGCAGTTATTTGCCTCGTTGGTAATGAGTTATTACTCAGCCTCAGCTAGACACTGCCTTAAGGGAGGAAACATCTGATCATCTTTTAATAAACACAGTTGGCTCCTGCAAGGCTCCTGCAGCTCCTCTATAAAGCGCTCCGAGACGCATGGCTTGTGCACAGACAGTGCTGCTATGAGTCACAGTCTGGGAAAGGGTGTTAGAATCGTTGCTCAATAAATAGAACAAAGCAGGGAAACCTCGGGTGGGCAGGGATGGCAGTCCTGCTTCCTTCACCGCGTGCGTGGCACTGGCCTCCTAAGGATTTACCCATCAGAGACTGAAAGCGAGATAAAAATTATTTCCATGTTTTCTCTCTTCATCTCCAATCTCCCACAAAAGCACTATGAGAAGGAACACGTCTGCTGGGTACCGGGTTTACCGGTGACAGGCTCTGCTTCCGCGTGCTTGGGGAAGATTAACACTGCAACGGCAGTGCCGCAGGCTGGCTTTGCTGGATGGGAGGGAAGGAGAGCGCTGACCTGCAGCTTGGGTGTTCCCACCGGAGCAGGGTGCAATGCCTGGTCTCTGTGCAGGATGCCCAGGGTGGGGAGGACGTCACCATCACTTTGTCCCTTCCCAGAGTCCCAGGTGGTCACAGAGAAAGGGGAAGAACATTGTGCCAGGCAGGCAGGGAGCAAGGCTAGCTCCCCCTGCTAACGGAGTCACAAACCTTCTCTTGCGGCTTTACACTGTGCTCCCTCTGTAGAAGAATGAATCCTATATAATGTCTAGTAGTTACACACGTGGAGCACAGCTACCAAAAACCAGCCTGTCTGCTCTTCAGTGCCGCAAAGCTTTGCTTTTATAAGGCCACATCTGGAAGAAATATTCAACATGAGGAATTGAATAACTTGGCTTGTACAAGAGAAAATAATGTGACACTCTCCCCAACCACGAACCACACCATTACCTGCAGCAAATGCAGATGCACATCTGCAGACACTGTCCTGCACCCAGACCTCCACCCACAAGCAGCAGCCAGCACCTTGGACTCCCCTGCAATCAGATGTTTTCTGAATGCTTGTAAAGCAGGACAGTAACTTATATTGAGTTTACATTTAAATAGCATTGTTGCCCAAACACATCTGGAAGCAGTTTCTTTCTCCAGATGTTTCCCCCAGATACATACCCTCCACTCAGTGCCCCAGATCCAGATGTTTCCAAATAACTTACTGCCCCCGTTGAAACTGAGCAGCCATCCTAGGGACACGGTTGGCCTCTCCAGCACAGAGACAGTTAACGCTCCGAGGCATCATGCAGGACACCTGCGCCTGGTGGAAACTGGAGACAAAGTGGAGCCCAGCAATGGAAAAAGTCAAAGCCAAAAGCCATGTCAGCTGCTGGGGAGCAGGAGGGGAAAGCAGCAGGGACAGAAAGCTCCATGTTAAAACCTCACCCTGCTCTCAGCCATGTAGAGGGAGGCACTGCTTAACTTTAGGCAGTTTGTATCTTCCAGAGCCCCAGTGCTCTGCAAAAGATGGTTCAGGGGGAAGGCTGAGGACGCACAGTACCAGTGTCCATTGCAGGGGTTACAGGGAGGTAAGCAGGGCTCAGTTTCACTGCCTAATTGCTAAAGGTGTGAGTTAGAGCTTCTTTTCCTTGGCCTGAAGCAGGACTCCCGCTGCAGTGACACATCCAAGGAAGCACCAAAACACACTTTCTACCTGCCTGCGTCAGCTCCAAGGCACACCATCCTTCCAGCCCTGGCAGGGCCTCCACATCCTGCCAGGGACCAATTTATACCAGCTCCACAGCCACTGGATACATGGCTGGAAGGGGTGCTTTCCCAGAGACGGAACTCAGGCTGGAAAAGCTTTTCACCTCAGGTTTGGATTAGCAGGCTCCTGTGCTGCAGCTGGCATTCAGGAGCCAGTTTCTCTGCCACTTGCTTTGAGTAAGAGCCCTGTGCACCAAGGGGGCTCAACTACCCCAGCCCCACAAGGCTGCAAATGCTTTCTTGGAGATGCAGCCTTAACCCAGACCTAGCCAGGCCAGGAGTGCAGAGCCCCAGCACAGCTGGAGCTGAAGCCCTGCAACTACACTTCTAGCTAAAAGGCTGTCTAGGACAACTGAGGGAGGACCATCACTCCCAGCTCCTCCCGAAGTAGAAACCACCTCCACTTTTCAGTACTGCCAGGTGTAGTTTACAGCAGACTGCCTGTGTGTAACAGCCATACTGCTGCTTACTTGGGAGTTTTGGGTTCAGCTCATTTTATAGCTGCTTAGCATGAGTCATGTTTGTCTGCAACTCAACTTCCCCTTGTTTCTCATGCTGGTGTTACTGTTCCACAGCGTAGCTGTTACGCTACTGTAGTTGGTAAGTGCCCACAGCTTTTCCAAAATATCAGGGAGGCCACAACCCCAAATTTAGGTTGCATCAGGAGCAAGATAGCAAGCTTAGGGGGGTAGGCTAAGGGCAAGCCCAGAGCCCCTGCAGTGCAAGAGGCATTAATCACACATCAGCTTCAGGCAACCGGCAAAGGTTTCAGATCTCACCTTTTTACCAAGCACAGGGAGGAAGCCTGAATGGGAAACCTACTTTCCCACAGAGCAGGGAGACACCTTTGAGTGTGTACAGGAGCCAGGACCCCAGCTGCTAGACCACCCCCAGTTTGTCTGAAGTCATTAAGAGGTTAGCCCCAGTGCCTCCAAATCTAGGTTACTTGGCACAGAAGCATCCCATCAGGGCTGCAGCAGGACACACTCCCCTCAATCCCTCCTTCTGGCACAGCATTTGAGCCAGGCTGGAGGTCAGCACCAGCACAGATGGGCCACATATGCTCTTCAGGTCAAGTTTCTCCCTCTGCAGACCTGCCTCCTTTGGGTCATCAGCATCTTCCAGGGCAGAGAACTCACAGCTCACCTCTCTGGACAAGAGCAGTTTGTTTGGAACAGCTGGCAATGAAGAAGAAACTAGAGGCTGTTTAAATGTGTCAATTCACCTTTAATGTTTGAAAAAAAATAAATGGTATTTGAGCCATTGCAGTTATGAAGGGAACAGATCTTGCTCCACGAGAGACCGTGAACAGGTTCACATTAGACTCATGCTTGGAAAAAGAAAACCCAAACAAACCAAACCCAAAACATTCTCCTTTCAGATCCAGAGTGGAGTTCTGAATAGACAAGACCACAACAGTGCCCCAGACAGTCCAAGGCACATTACCCCAGTGCAGACATTTCCATCGACATGAAATTATGACAGCTACATTCTTTCTAGTTACAACATTGTTCTATCAATATTACAAAATTAGGCATACTTTGGATTTTGCACAGAGACAAGAAGGACTTTTACTTCAGGAAGTAGTCAACCTGGGTCATCAAGTCATTTCACAATGAAGATCTCCCTTCGCTCTGCCCTTTCTCCCCCAGCAGTGACTTATTACCAACACCAAATTCACCTCAGACTCATCATCCCAGTGATATTGTCTATGCATTAGTTAACAAACCAATAAATAGACCTTATGACAAGCACCAGATATTTACTTGCCATCACACAGCATTTCTCCACACCCAGATGAAAAGAACTTCCTGCAGTGTAATCCAAGAGTCAGTACATACTAAGACAACATCACTGCTGAACCTATTGGAGACCAAGACACTTGTCTGCCTTTGAAGCAGATGTCACATGAGTTTCCTTCACACAAACATCACATGTAAATTTAACTTCTTGGTACTGTGCTTTAAGAACAAAAGCAGATATCAGAACATGGAGGACAGTCCTCCAGAAATAGCTTATCAGCTACAGAAAATAAAAAAGGAGACAGTGGCCACTTACAAGTCTTCCACATGACTAGCTTGCTTTAAGGAGAGCATCAAGTTAAGGCAGTGTTGAGACAACTGGCTAAGAACATGCCAAATAGAGCTGTTGTCAGTAGTCACCAATTTGATATCTTACTCCATTTCGGGGACGGACCACGTGGCTTTAGATCTCAGTATCAAGGTCTAAAGACTTCAGCCACAGAATGCTGCTTTCTGCAGCAAGCAGCAGCTCAGGGGGATGTTTGTTGAAGTCTTCTAGACCAGGCTGAGTTGCTTACAAGTCTAGGTCAATGTTTCAGCAGAGCCAAAAATACAGTGATGGGCACTGAAAGAGAACACCAAGGGTGCCAGCTGCAAGTCTGTTTATCACAGTCCGAGGTGGAGTTCAACTTGTGTGCGAAAGCCACATAATCAAGAGCCACCCCACCAGCTTTCAGGGAAGGTCTAAGTACCTGCACTGAGGTTACTGGGAGAGCCAGCTCTCTACAGTCTGCAGGGTGGGTACAGAGGCTCACACTGGCTTTGCTCCTCATTACAAGATTAACAGTCTAATAAAACTCAGTAAGGAAGTCAGGGTCTTTTGGCCTGCCCAAAGAAGTTTTCCCAGCCTCAAAGAAGGAGTTACCACTGAGGGAGCTGTTGTGGAATAGTTTTATTTCTTCCCATGTAAAGGCCATTGTTTAAGCATTTACAGGTTTCCTAGTGCAATACAACCAAAAAAAGCAGTAACAAAAAAATGCCGCCTTCTTCCCAGGCAACTAAACAGAAGTAGATTTTTACTGCAACATATACACATTAAATATAGTATACAGTCCATGCAGCGGCATAGCCATGTTAAAGGGAGTCGTGGCTTCAGCCATCAGTGCATTACAGTCCAAATTTCACTTGCTCCTACTTCCTATCCAGACTTGAAGAGAAGAATTGCAACCTGACCCAAGTAAAAATAGATGAAGTGCTTTGTCTCATGTGTTACATAGCTGCCAAAGTTTCTGCCAACAATGCAGTGCCAAGTTGGGTTGTATTTCTTGTCAAATTCCTGAAGAAAGAGAAGAGAGGCATTAAGGCCAAGAAAGCCCACATGAAAATAGTTCTAAGCACAAATTCTTAGCTGGTTCTGTTCACACACTATCGCCTCTCCTCCCACCTGCAGCATCTTTAGATTCCCCAATGCAAGACACTATTATATTAAGCAAGATAGTGACCAACACAACCAGACCTCTGCGCTGGATTGCTTGAAGGATCCAACACAAGCAAATCATCTCCTGAGACTTGGAGCACCCATCAGCCCTGGGCAGAAAGAGCAGACACAAGAGCTCTCCTTGGTACAGTGCTATTCAAGCCCTGCGTGTAGGCTAGCTCAGGGGAATATTTCTCCTCTCCCATTCCAAACCCACTCACAAAAAAATAAAAAAAGATTTTTGGCATGTCTGCTCCAGCAAGGCATTTGAGCTTAAAGGTCACCTAAAAAAAGGAAGAAGTCTGGCTTCTGCTCTTTGGGACTCTTCTTCACATAAAGGGGAGAAAATCTGCATTGAAAATGAGCAGGCAAATTCACAGGCCAGACAGCACATGGAGACCTAGGAGGTCAGAGGTGAGCAAGCTGAATGCTGGCTTAATAGTCAGTCTTCTGCTACTTAGCAGCTAAGATAGGGTTAAAGACCATTTTCCTCCCTCTAATTAATACACAACTCCCAAGAACACCCTTCCCTCCCAAGACAGAACCAGAAGAACAGACTCAACATTCAAGATTAAAGCAAGTGCTAGTCCTCAGATAGCAGCAAGACAGCTTGAGCTCTTTGCAGGTAACCTTTGAAGTATAGAAAAGGCTTTCTTGCCAGGGCATGAAGGTGCATCAAATTGCTTCCCTCCTCCCAACACACTCTCAGGAAATAAAGGCCAACTTCTTTTTGGATGCCTTCTGTTGCACTCACTCACTTTACAGGCTGCATTGCCCCAAGCACTTTGAGATAAGTCTTGCCTCAAAGTGATCTGAGAAGTTAGGAGACACCTTTGAATCCTTTACATTCAAGCTTAGATTACAAGCAAGGCCCAAAAGCTAGACCAGGTGCCAGGACTGCATTGCCTATGAAGTCACACTTTCCTCCTTCAAAAGCACTTTGCCTGACCATTCAGAGGGGTGGCTACAGAGGGAACTGACAGCTCCCCAGATGCCATAAAGCATGAGACTTAAGTTAATGTTCTCCTGCAAACGGGGAGACATCTCTTCACAAGCCAGGGCAGCTTTCACAGCACGACACACAGCACCTTTCACAACCTTGCCAGCCAGCACAAGGCCCCATCCTCCTCCACACCACCCACCCCAGAGCCAGGAACATGGCAGACAGAACCACACATGCACAGCTGCCCACTTTGAGTGAAACAGAGTAATCCCACCCTGCACTGGTAGTGCAAGTCAAGCAGCAGTATCTGCTGAGCAAGTCCTAAACAGAGACTGCAGCCAGCTTTTTCTAGGCTGGCAAATCCAGAGGGACAGCACTCACACTGTTTGCTCAGAGCTTG